TGAAAGCTAAGTTCTAGAGAAGTCTTCCAATAATGTCATGCATAACGAAGAACTTATCAGACGCCTGGGGCTGCTAGGAAGGACAACCTCTAAAACACACATGGAAAAAACATATAACTTATCATATTACGGGTCACAACAGGACCCAGAAACAAAACCAAAAGGGAAAGCACAATCATTCTTAAAAACATTACAAGCAAGAAGCCAAAAGCTACTACTAATTTTTATCCTCATTGACAACTTCGAAATTTGTGTTAACAACACGATCTTCTTGGGTTGGATCATCAATAGGAAAGGGTTCTGCCTTTTCCATATCCATGAGGTGCGCATTGACCACGACTTTGAAGAAGTCTATCTCGGACAAGTCAAGGTCGGGATAAAGGTATATAACTTGAGCCTTTTCCCTGTCAAAGGCAGCATCACCCGCATCGAGAATATCAATTTGAGCTTTTTACAAAGAGATTTGGAATTAGTCAATTGAATCTCGGACTAGCTTCATCTCTTCAGACTGTTTGTCAATAGTTGACTTCAGTTCTTGTTTATAGCTTCTGATTTCTCCCTCTTGATTTTTTCCTCCGATAATTGTTTCTCCAGATCGGATACTTTATCCGCACATGATTTCTCTTATTCCTTCAGTTGATTGATCTCTTGTTTAATATTGATCTCGTTCTGCTTACAATCATCCTCAGCCTCAAACAAACCTCGAATGAGGACAACACACCTCATTAGATAAAAGCTAATGTTTTGGGTCAGCTTCTGACGCCCTATGGTCTTCACCTTATTCACATCTTCTGTAGCATTTATATGATCATAAAATAATTTCAACCCATCAAAACTATTACTCTAAAACTTAAATTCATGAGACAACCTAGATTGGTCACTTCCATCAGCCTCTCGCATTAAGGACAAAATTTTCCAATCAGCCCTGCAAACCTCGTCGCTCATTAAAGTTTTCATAGACTTTGGAGAGCTTGGGCAGGTACCTTTCTGTGGTGAAAGGGTAGAAGCTTGAGGCTCCGAGAAACTTGAGATCGTTTTTCTTGGGGATAACTTTCTTTTCTTTAGTACCCGGGCTTCTAAGCCGGACAGGTCCGATTTGGCGATAGCTTGGCCGGCTGCTTGCCTCATCGCCCGAGCTTCCAACATCAACTTCTTGTGTTCTTTCACCGACAAGTTAGTCATTTTTCCTGCGTAGAAGAGGAGGAAAAAAGGTTATTAGAATAAAAAGGGATACCTAGGTAATGCAAAAAAGGAAAATAAATATTACCCATAAAGTAAAGGATTTGTTCTTCAGGCAACGATAATAGATCCCAGATCTTCATCATACGAAAAAAGTCTAATATGGCTAAGATTTGATTTATTGACCATTCAGTTTGTCAAAGTCAAACCCAGACACTGAGAGCAGACTTCCAGTCTAATAAATAGGAAAGCGGTGGGATCCATCCAACGCATACATTACTTGAGGACATCTCGGGCCACACTTATTCTGAAGGAACCGGTCTTTAAAGCCTTTTAATTGATAGTGTAGGCTTGGAGAAAGCTCTTACCGGGAAAGGAAATTGGATCTTAAAATCTTCCAAAACCCCGACATAAAAATGGAAATAGTCCTCTTTAACCCCCCCTCCCCCCGGGGATGAACTATACAAACACGCTCCTCAAGGATACAAGGTTCTAAAACGGCATCATTTTCATTCCTAGTGGAGGAAACAATTCTTAGAGAGCGAAGTTTAGCAATCTCAAAGTTGCAACAGAACTATGATCATAACTCATTACTTCTGGGTTAAACGAGTCTGTAATCTCCATAAACACCTCTATTGATGAACCTGATGAAGAATATTCGGAATGAGAATCACTAAAAGAGATGGAAATATTTTCATAAGCCTCTCTTACAATACAATCAAAATCTGTTTAGGTTAAAGTGTCCCTGCAACCTCTCACGTGAAATTCCCAAAGAGTTTTTATTTCTTGAGCACTCAAGGTTATCGGTATATTGGTATCATAATCATATGTATCAACAATAGTCATTTGAGTAAAACAACACAAAATAAGGAAATAAAAAGCAAATACACCTGATCTTGATGAGTGAATGTAAATTGTGAATCTTGCTTCGGAAAAGACTATGATGAGTCAGAAGATGAATAACTAACTTCAATTAGGAGGAAATCCTTTTAAAGATCCAAGATATTCAAAGTGTTTGGTGTCACTAAAGGGGATCAAATTTTCAAAAAAAAAATCATCATTATTGAGATAAAAGAAAAGTTGAAGAAGATACACTAGGACACGTCACTGAAAAATGAGTACAGTGACACAGGAAGACCGGAACAAAATTTTGATTCAGGATTTTGGTGAGAAAGGTATTTCTGGGCTTTTTTGTCTGAACATCACAGTCCTTCAAACTTCATGCACGTGGGCTTATATACATCCCAAAAATTTAGTTGGCCAACCGAGGTATGAGCTCGGAAAAACTTATTATACGTCCTAAAAAGTCTTTGAGGCCAAGTTGGAAGGACAACCGAGCATGGTAAGACTAACAAGTCGGAAAATCATATTCCTACCTATAAATAGATTCCGATTAAGGGTAGCCAAAAAAATCAAGGCGGGGCCAACCTCATATGAACTGAGAACTATCTCATTCACACAAGTCGGAACCAATGACAAGGCTTGAATTTCACGTGAAGGTTCACAAGCGACGATTATGAAATAATGCATTATGACTGAAAAATTACAATTATTGAAGAGATAGACTATACATGGCAATTATAAGATACAAAAGACGTTACTTGAAAGATATTTATGAGGAATATGAAGAGTAAAACAGAGGAGAAGAAAGGACGATGAGACCTATAAATAGATTTTTTTTTTGGAAGGAACAGAAAGACAATAATCTGCAAGAGACATACTTCACAAACACCTTAACCAGTCATTTAAGACTCTCCTCGAGTTAGAATGAGAAGACAACATTTTAGTATTTTTATCAAGAACATTTCTCGTTAGTGATATTTTTATGATTTGTGTTCTCATTCATTAGAATTGTTTTCACACATTTTTGTGACCTAAGAATTTGTGGTTATAGTGTGATATAGAAAATTTGTGGTTATAGTGTGGTATAAATTTTTTAAGTAGTTTGAATGATCTTTTATCTTTCCTAGAGATCTTCTTTTGTTTTTTAAAAGCTTTTACATTATTGGGGCTTTATCTTAGATTAGAGGTGGTTTAATTATGATATGATGGTATTATCTATCTAAAAGTTAAAGAACTGAGTGATTTTATCATCAACGTCTATAAACATATAGGATTAGAATTTGGAAGATAAGAGTGTTTTAACTTTTTGAAAATGGCATATTGGGAACTCATATACTAGGGGTGGTAAAGTGGGCAGTCCGCCCCGTTTAGACCCGTCCCGTTTAAGCCCGTCCAAAAGCGGGGCGGGGCGGGACGGGTCAACTTAGGCGTCCGAGCTCAAAAGTTAAGTTCGTCCCATTTGGTAACGAGTTGGCGGGTTGGCAGGCCGACCCGCTAATTTTTAATTTTATAATTCGATTTACTACATAATTTACAAAAAAAAAATATTTATCACTAAAGAGGCCGACAAAAGATTTTTTTAAGAACGTATAAAAGATCTTCAACGTGTCTTAAGTCCAAACAGTTCAAAAAATAAAATAAATAAAGACCAATTACAACAAAAAAATAATAAAATAAATTCAAGCCAAATAAAAAACATATCAAAATAAATAAATAAATAATACATATCATCCTAATCTTATTTAAAAACTAACTACTAAAAAAACCCAATTAAGAATTTACAAAAGACAAACAATAATAACAATTACATTACATAAAGCATCACAGTACATAAAATAATAGTGCATAAAATATCAATATCTGACTTTCTCACTGTTTACATCATATAGACTTTTATATTAACTGATTTCTTAATAGTTAAATTTTAAATTTGTCACACTTACGCTAATCAAATCCTTCCTTTTTTTTTTTTAAATCAACATCTATTTCTAAGGAAAACATGTGAACTAATGTTTGACAAATTAATAATTCAGCATGACATGCAATTTTTCTTTTATTTTAAATTTTTCAAAACACATGTATTAAAAAGTTATAGAAAGGACGTTACAATTATAATTTATTTTGTTTGTATAATAATTTATAATCCAATTCAATCAACATAAACCGAAAAGGACGTTACAATTATAATTTATTTTGTTTGTATAATAATTTATAATACAATTCAATCAACATAAACCGAAAAAAGTGTTGTTTTTATAATTAAAGTTGTTTTAATTCTGAGTAGAAAAATAAGAAATTTTAACAAAAAGTCTATGGACGAAGCCCGCCCCAGCCCGCTTTTTCAAACGGGTTAGACGGGATAGACCAACTTAAAATACCGAACTGAAAACCTCAGTCCAACCCGCCAAAAATGACGTGTCAAACGGACCGACCCGTTTTACCACCCCTATCATATTCTCTCTTTCAATTGGTTTGAGAATTTTGACCCCTTACTTGGAGAGGAGTGTTCTTGTTGCCTTTTGGAACCAAAAGATTCATTTCCGTTGAGGATGGTTCGTGGTATCAAATGCTAGTCGATTGTCTTGTGATGTGGTGGTAGGGATTTGTCTTCATTATTTTTTGGTGTTGTCTTTGGGTGGCATCAAAAGTTCAAACATAATACCTAATAAGAATCTCACAATAGACACCAGAGGCACGAGGTACCCAAAAAAACTGAAACAAATAAAGAACAATAGCAACAAAAACAACCATGTAGCATAAGGATGAACAAAAAATGGAGTATGCATTCCATCCCTACTACAAGGAAAGCAATGGCAACCCTATCAAGAAATGGCATTTGCTACCTCAAATTTACAGGCTTGTTTTATTACACAACAATAACAATTTAAATTACTGTGAGAAAAAAAATGGGATTGCTATAAGTCGACAAAAAATGTCCGCTATTATAAACTTAGAATAGGAATCCACCAATCACATCGTCAATGGACATTGCGTGTGATCAATCCCTCAAATGTAGTGAATAGATCCTTGTTTTCAGGCCCAAAAATTTCATCAGCTTTCTGTAAAGTCACCTACAATTTTGCACACAGTGCCAAGTGTCTATTAACTGAAAAAAGGTATGGTTGGTGGTAGAGAACCAGTGGTAGTAAGGCAGAGACAAGATGAATTACCTCTCTTGTTTGTTTATGGGAATTTAGCTCCTTAACATTTGCCAAGAATGCACCAAACTGCTCATATGAAAGACGGTTCCTAATAACAACAATCATGAGATAAATGAAGGATAATGGCCTAACCGAACTAATTTGAGCGAAAAAATGAGCAATTCACTAAAATATGTAAAAGATGAGACTATTTTGATTTTGAGGAGCTAAGCTAATTGTATCCGCGTTGTAAATCATGTCATCTATCAATGTTTCTCCGATAGTGAAATATCAAGTTTCTGAACTTGATTTAATAGTTTTAAAAGTTTGAAGACAAGAAAGAGCACTCACCTGACTTGGCGAAAGAACTCCTTCCCATCCACCCGTGCTCGTCCTGTGACATATAAGTTAAGAAAAAATACGAGGGCGGATAATCAAACCTAATGAAAACATTCTTTATATGGCTGCAATGTTGGGTATATTATGCCCCTCATTCTTCATAAGGATGTGAGATCCAACAAATAATCCATAGAGTGACCAAATGAAAGCATTTCTGGATGCAATATTTTACACAGTGCAACGGTAGCAAAGTTGGATGTACTCACCCGCTTGTGATCCTGTTACTGTATCAGAGCTTGATATTGAACTGTGGCCTATGGAGGAAAATGCTGCAGACCTATCATCATGGATGCCTCTTGATGAAAAGGAAATGGAATGTCGCCTTGGAGACATGGGTCTAGATGTTCTTGTTGGAGATACTGATGCAGAAAAACTAGGAGGGGAGCCAGTGGGTGTAATCCGGGGGGTGGAACTTTGGGAAGCCATGAGGAGATTATAGGGCACTCTAGGTCTTATGACTTCAATATTGGAATGGAAAAAGCCAGAAAGATCGCGATAAACATTCAAAATTATAATTAAATTTTCAGCAATATCAAAATAGACACCATATTGAGTACATTATTACATACCATCAGAATCTTGATCCTCAGCTAAAGAATTTCCACTATTAGAAATACGAGGCATCGAAGAAGATATAGACGGTGGCAATGAAGAGTCATTATCTGCAATAAAATCAGAACTTCTCAGAACTGAAAATAAAAAAGTGCAGTTGAAGGAGCTCAACTTTAATGACCCATTTGCAAGAGCAGGAAAGAAAGGAATATCGAGGGAAAAACTAAGTTAAATAGAAAGATTTCCCTCCATTCATCTCTTTTTCACTCTCTCTTCCCTCTTTTCCAAACAGAGCCTAAAATGTTTATTTTAAAGAACCTAAAATGCTTTTAATGGTGCTCTCTCCATCAAATTCAAGTAGTATATTGTTGTCAGATAGTCACTTAGATTTGCATACAGCTTATACATGACTGTCAGCTAACATTAATGTCAGAACTAGACTAACAGTCCAAAGAACTTATATAAGTAATTAAGCTATTTTCACTCTATTAGTATTATGTATTCTCTACAGGAAAGGTGGAAGGGGGAAATTTGGATCCTCACTTTCTTTAGCAACAAGATTAACATTTAAAGAGAGAAAGACAAACAATATACATGCAGGATTTTCAAACCCGTGTATTGGAAATAATGAATCCCAGTAAAGTAAAACTTGCAGCTTTCTCTCCAAACATGACACTGTCATGTCCCCGAAGGAAAAAGAGAGGATCCAAACCCTAATAACTTAAGGATTTTCATTGCCGTTATTATGACTTTAAACAAATGGATACATAATATGTGAAAGTGCAGGCATCCAAATGGTAAGATGCTGAATGCACACTCAGAGGACAAAAGTTAGAACAATGCTCCAAAGTCTCCAGCAGGCAGTACATATCAAATCCTTTATATAGTTTTTTTAATAAGAATTTGAAGATGCTATATTGCCCATAAGTTTACTCTACATAATACCTAAAGGTTAAATAAAAGCACCCTAAAGCTCATTGCAAAAATGAAAAAACAATAAACAAAGGGCCAAATTGAGAGAGCAATTTACAAAGGGTACCAACACTCAAACAGAAGTTTAATGTTGCGAGTGAGAAAGGATGGCATATAACATGTTGAAAGTACCTCCAAACTGAGACGTAAAAGTCAAACCCGACTGACTCTGTATTCTAGCAACAATGTCTGGAGCTCCTCCCTATGTGAAACACCCATTAACAGCCAAAAGTCAAATAAGAAAATTCCCTTGAAACAAATAGTATAAGCTAGTATAATTAAAACCAATTCATACACAATAAGCAACACAATCCATAAAAATAAACCCAAAGATTAACTTAAGAATTCAATTGATACTGTAATCACAGACAGAAATGAATGGCAAACTCTTCATTAAACCAAGACTAAAACAGTAAGCAACACATAAATATGTAGCACCGACACCTCTGGAAAAAAAAAGTGTCTGGTGTCGATGTCCGAAATCGACACCGACATTATAATTACACATAATTTATTCATTTTTTAAAAATTATTACCAATGTCGGTGTCGTGTTTCCGGTTTGCATGCTTCATAGCCACAAAACTTCTTAATGACAGAGAGCAAGCAGCATTAAACAACAACAATATTAATAGTAACTTACCGAATTATCATCATCCTCTTGAAGTGATTGCATAAGCGTCTTTCTAAAAACCTCTAACTGCATGCATTTACACCAAGTTATCATAAAGTCCAAAATTCATCCACATAGCATAGTGCAAACAAAAAATATACCAAAACAATTAAATTTATCATCCATGTCCCATTTCATTAAAATATAAAAAAAAAAACTGCAAAAATGGGTTATTATAATGAAAATTGAGTAGTACTAGCATCGTAAGCACAATAAAAAAATCCTAGTAAAACGGACCTTGGAGACATCTCGATTAAGCTTTCTGACAGTGTTTGAAAGCGAATCATTCTCCTTAAGCAAATTCTCCTAAAGTATGAAGCTCAACCACCGAAAATAAACAAACAAATAAATAAAAACGAAACGGAAAAGGTTAAATTTGAGAATATGAAATTGAACCCGGTTCGGGTTGGTTGGGACCTTATCTTGTTCGGCTCGGACGAGTTTATCCGCGGTTTCAGAAAGGGAGGCGTCGAGGGACTCAACCTGAGACTGAAGTTCGGCGATGAGACTATCCTTCTCGGCGATCTTGACGCGAAGTTCCGACAACTCGAATTCCAATGCGTTGACACGTGTCGATAAAGCAATGGATGTGATCTTGCGCGCCACATCGAGTTGCTCAAATGGATCTGACGGTAGCACTTGCACGACATCCTCGGGAAGATCGAAGTTCGAACTACCCGATTCCGCCGTCATGTTTGTTCCTCCCACTTTCTTCTCTCTTTCTCTTCTATTTCTTATTTTATTTTACTTAAAAAAAAAAAAAAATACAACTGTAAGTATTACTATTTCACGTTATTTCCGTGGATTTTTTGTACAAGTTTATCTTTGGTTTTCTGAGATGTGAAATGTGAATGCTGGAAGAATAAATTTGTACACACTATTTGAACACACAATTGATATATAGACAATTGATCCAAGGCGAGGGATGAAGCATTCAAGAATTAAAAAAAATCCAGAAATTAATAAAATAGGCGTCTGTTTGCTTTAATTTTATAATATTTTTTCTTAAACAATTTCTAAGAATTTTTAAAAAATAATAAAAGTTTTTTAAATTTATTTTGTATAAATTTAAAAATTAATTCTGATATCTATAACATAATATACTTTCAGATTAAAATCATATGATTTTTTAAAAATATATTTGTTATAAAAATTATTCAAAATAATTTTAACTTTAAATGATTTTTTGAATTTTTATATCTAAAAAAAATTATAATAAAAAGATAAAATATATAAAATAACATTTTATAAGAAAAAGTTATTTAAATATTTTATTGAAAGTTTTGTTTTAAAAAATTATTTATAAATTTTTTGAAACCAAAATAAATAGTACTGTAAAAATTATTTTAAAAATAAACTGAAACAAATTATCCTTAAAAGTTCATAGTTGAAATGGTTAATATCACTTTGTTTATAAATAAAAAATGAGTGGTCAATTTATTTTTACATAAACTTTTTTAATTTATTCTAAATTAGATTTAATGAAATAATTAATTAAATAAAATATTAATTTAACTTTTATGTTATATTCAATTTAAATATTATGATTAAGAGTAAATTAAAAAAAAAAAAGATTTACTTTTAAAATAAGTTGAACCTTATTCATAAAAGACATTACTCTATTTTAAAATAAGTGTTTATTGGAATGACACATTTTGTCTCAATAAAATAAAATAACTGTTCTGTCCTGGACCCAGCCTCGCGGTCCAGCCCAATAACGCACAAGGCCTAATAAGTGGAATAGCTTGACCGGGCGCACACCCCCACCGGACAGGCAGGATACGCTCCCTGTCAAGCAGGACGGCGCGATTCGAAGCGTCCTCGGCGCTCCCCCTAGCTGGACCGAACAACTTCCACGGGCAGAATCCCCTTGCCAACGGGCATGACGATTCGTCCTCCCCGCTCTTGTGTGCTCCCCCCCCCCCCCCTCGGGGAGAGCCACACACCGCCCGGGAATCCCACGAGCTCCCCTCCGCGGGGAGAACATCGTGTTCTCAGGGAGTCCCACGAGCTCCCCTCCGCAGGGGGAACAACGTGCCAGCCGTGCGTTCTCCACGTGCCCCCCTCCACGGGGACACGTCATCCCCAACTGCCTACCTCCAAAAGAGCAGGTCAAACCCACTTTCCGGAAGTCTCGGGACAGTTGGACTAGGGCGAAGACCACGTCCTGGTCTTCCCTACGCCACGTAAGCCCTAGCAGTCACCTGGGTTGGGTCTGGCCACCCAGCCCAACTCAAGTGACCGTTGGCCCAGCGCTGGGGTCTCTCTATAAATATCCTCTTCCTCAAGAGGGTCAGGTAATTCACTTCTTGCCCACTTTTTGTACTTTGCTCTCACTCTGCCCAAATTCTTACTTTGGCATCGGAGTGTCTTGCAGGTACACCCCCCTTTCTCCTCCTCATCACCGGTGAACAAGTAGTTGTCCTCATCAGCAAAACCGAGGAGGGCCAAAAACCAATCTACTTCACGAGCAAAGCCCTCCACGGCCCCGAAGTCCGATACCAGCTGATCGAGAAAGTCGCCCTAGCCCTCATCACCGCAGCGCGACGGCTCCGACATTACTTCCTCGCACACACCGTCGTGCTCCGCACCGATCAGCCCATCCGCCAGCTCCTCGGCTGACCCGGCATGGTCGGACGCATGCTGAAATGGTCGTTAGAACTATCTGAGTTCGATATCGTCTACGAAGGCCGGAACGCCATCAAAGCTCAAGCCCTGCCCGACTTCGTCGCCGAGATGACCCCGTCACCCGACCCCACCACTAGGAGCCACATCTGGATCATTTTCGTGGACGGCTCCTCCAACTCCACGGGAAGCGGCGCCGGCATCATCCTCGACAACGACGAGGGCACCCTCATTGAGGTCTCCCTCACGCTGGCCTTCCCGACGACTAACAACCAAGCCGAGTACGAAGCGTTCCTGGCCGGACTTTGCCTGACATCAGACCTCGGGGCCAGAGACATCCGAATCTACACAGATTCCCAACTAGTCGCTTCGCAAGTACGAGGAGAATATCAAGCGAAAAACGACAACCTCGCCGAGTATTTATCACTTATCACCGAAAAACTGCAAAGTTTCGACTCCGCGGAGATTCAGCACGTCCCGCGCGAGCAGAACACCCGCGCCGATATCCTCTCCAAGTTGGCGAGCACCAAAAAGCGAGGAGGCCACGAGTCGGTCATCCAAGAAGTCTTATCGCAACCGAGCACCAAAGCGACCACCGCCCCTCTCGACATCAACGCCATCGGAGATACCGACTGCTGGATGACCCCACTACACACCTACCTCAGCACCGTCCACCTACCAGCCGACTCTAAAGAGGCAAGCACAACCAAGCGACGAGCCTGCTCGTACGTCCTCCTCGAAGGAAAACTATATCACCGAGGCTTCGCGATCCCACTCCTCAAATGCATCGATAACTTCCAGAGCGCAACCGTCCTAGAGGAAATCCACAAGGGCATCAACGCGCAGCACCTCGGAGGACGATCCCTGGCGCGAAAGGCTCTACGAGCAGACTACTACTGGCCCTCGATGCAAACGGACGCGAAGGAACACGTCAAACGATGTGACAAATGCCAAAGACACGAACTTAAATCCCCACCAACCGAACTCAAATCCCTCTCCTCCCCGTGGCCATTTGCCTGGTGGGGGTTGGGCATCCTCGGGCCCTTCACCCTGGGGTCCTATCAGAACAAGTACCTCATCGTGGGCGTAGACTACTTCACCAAATGGATCGAAGCCGAAGCCCTGGCTAAAATCACGGCCCACAATATACTCCGATTCTATAAACGAAACATCCTCGCAAGATTCGGGGTCCCGCTCGCCATCATCACTGACAATGGCACACAATTCACGGACAAAAACTTCCGCGACTTCGTCACGAAGCTCGGAACCACACACCACTTCACCTCGGTCGAGCACCCTCAAACAAACGGCCAGGCAGAATCCGCGAACAGGGTCATCCTCAGGGGACTCAAACGACGACTCGTTGACGCAAAGCGAGCATGGGTCGAGGAGCTCCACAGCGTCCTCTGGGCATACCGCACTACTCCCCACTCAACCATGGGGGAAACCCCATTCCGCCTCACGTATGGAACCGAAGTCGTGATACCGGTCGAGATACGCGAACCATCCAGACGAACTGAAGCTCCCCTCGACACCGACGACAACGACGACGCCTTACGTGAAGAGCTCGACCTCGTCGAGGAGATTCGCTCAGGAGCAGCCCTCCGGGAAGCCCGGCTGAAACAACAAGTAGCACTTCGCCACGACAACAAAGTCCTAAAACGCGACTTCCAACTCGGAGACTTAGTTCTGCGCAGAAACCAGAAAGACTCACACGAGGGAAAACTGGCTGCGAATTGGGAAGGCCCATACCGTGTCCGCGACAAGACGGAGCACGGGGCCTATTACCTCGAAAACCTGCACGGGGAACAACTAGCTCGACCATGGAACGCCGCGAAACTTAAGCGGTACTACAGTTAAACACTGCCTGCGACGACCCATCGTCACGACCACTGGGGAGGCGACATGGTACCACCGCACTTCCTCGCGTCTACTAACGACCAGAGAAAAGCAAGCCCTGCCTCCTGTGTGCGCGGGCAGAAGGCCTTGCTCGGCGGGGAACGACTCGACCGAGATTCCCCACCACCGTACCGAAACCGGCAGGACGCCCAGCTCGCGATGGGACGCCCACGCCATGGGGAGAACTACCCCCGAACCGGTCAGGCAACAACGCCGGCCAAATCGGCCAGTTCCCTTCACCGCCGGTAACAAGTTTTGTCGAGCTACCACCCCGGACAGACCCAAAAGCATACTAACACATGCATATCAAACATATATAACTCAAGCATACAAATATGTGCAGAAATAAGACGAGCATAAACATCATGCAAAAACCGAGCGCACACTTAGAAAATTCTCAAAAATATATTAAGCAAAAGCGGGCACCAGCCCAGTAGTCAACATTACATGAACAGGGTCACACAGGCCCAACAAAGAAAACAAGAAGTTACAAAACATCGGCGCGCAGACCAGGAAACTACAAGCACGCAGGCCCGGGAAACCTATACATCCTCGCCCTCCTGCTCAGCATCCACGGGGTCGGCGTCAGGGACGACGAGCTCGGGGTCGACCACCTTCCCCTCGACGATCTCATGATATGGCCCAATCCCGTCCACGACCAGTGCAGCGCCGGGGTTGACAATTTGGATCTGCGCAACAGCGCTCTTGAACCCGACCTTGACAACGTCCAGGCAATCGCTCTCCAGCACCCAAATCCGGGCGACCAAATCAGCACGCGTAATCATCCGCCGATCTTCCTCAGTCTCGTCCTCAGCCAGACGAAGAGCGCTATCCAGAACTTCCAGGCGGACTGTCAGCGCCTGCACATCGGCCGCCGCCGCCCCCAGCTTCTCCTCTACCGACGTCATCTTCTCCTCAGCACCTTCCGCCCGCTTGCGCTGGTCGGCAGCATCTTTCCGACTCTTCTCCAGCTCCTCGGTGAGTTTGTCCAGGTGCGACTGCATGAAGGTGAGGTCCCCCCGCAATTTGGCCAGCTCAGCAGCAGAGCAACCCTCCTCGTTCAGGACCAGAGCCGTGGTAAAAGTCTGCATCATCGCGGCCAAATCCTCTGCCAAGATGCGTCGGCGAGACTCTCGATCGGCATAACGGACAACCTTCACTTCACCAGC